ATGAAGTTAACAGAGAGGAGCCCCCGAATATGGATGCTGCTAGGTTCTATGATATGTTGAAGTTATCTCAAGAACCATTATGGCCTGGATGTGAGACACATTCAGTGTTATCTGCTGCTATTAGGATGATGAGCTTGAAGTCGGAATACAATATGAGCAATGGATGTTTTGATGCCATGGCACAACTTATGAAGGAAACATGTCCTTCTTCAAACAAGATTCCTGATGATTTTTATAGGGCCAAGAAATTAGTGGCAGGCTTAGGCCTTACAAGTCAAAAAATTGATTGTTGCATTAATGGATGTATGTTGTACTATAAGTTTGATAGTGATTTAAAAGAGTGCAAGTTTTGTCATGAACCACGTTACAAACAACCTACTGGGCGTAAGAAAAATAGCAAGGAGGTTGCACGAAAAAGGATGCATTATTTGCCTCTGATTCCACGACTCCAACGCTTGTATGCTTCAGATACCATTGCAATGAAAATGAGGTGGCACCACGAACACCGTAGGGAAGAGGGTGTGCTAAGTCACCCTTCAGATGGAGCAGCATGGAAACATTTTGACAGATCTTATCCTGACTTTGCTGCCGAACCTCGAAATATCCGACTTGGTCTTTCAGCAGATGGATTTACTCCATTTGGTCAATCTGCACGGTCTTACTCCTGTTGGCCTATATTAGTCACACCATATAATCTTCCTCCAAACATGTGTTTGACCAGCCCTTTTATGTTTTTGACTATGATCATCCCTGGGCCACATAATCCAAAAAGTAAGATTGATGTGTATTTGCAGCCACTCATAGACGAGCTACAACAGTTATGGAGTGATGGTATATGGACTTATGATGCTTACAAGAAGCAAAATTTTTTAATGAGAGCATCATTAATGTGGACAATAAGTGATTTCCCCGCTTATGGGATGTTATCAGGATGGAGTACGGCTGGAAAGCTAGCATGTCCAGTTTGCATGGATAAATCAAAGGCGTTTACATTAAGAAAGGGAAAGAAATGTTCTTGGTTTGATTGTCATCGTCAGTTTTTAGAACCTAGTCATATGTTTAGAAAGAACTCAAATGCTTTTAGAAAAGGGAAACAAGATCACTCAATCCATCCTCCTAGATTATCTGGGGATGAGATTTTGAGAAGAGTTAATAGATACCCTAGGATAATTGATACTGGCCAACAAGTCCGCTTTGAAGGATATGGGAAAACTCACAATTGGACAAAAAGAAGCATATTTTGGGATTTACCTTATTGGAAATCACATTTAGTTCGACACAATTTAGATGCCATGCATATAGAAAAGAACGTCTTTGACAATGTATTCCATACTGTTATGGACAACAAAGACAAAACGAAAGATAATACAAAATCAAGATTGGACTTGGTACAACACTGCCGACGGCCAGAATTGCATTTGCAACTGGTTGATGAAAACTGGAAAAAGCCAAAAGCCAAATTTTGTTTCAGTCGAAAAGAAAAGGAAGACATATGTGAGTGGGTAAAGAATTTAAAAATGCCTGACAACTATGCTTCCAATCTAAGCAGATGTGTGGATGAAAAGGAAGCAAACTTATCTGGAATGAAAAGTCATGATTGCCATATTTTCATGGAACGTCTTCTTCCAGTGGCATTTTCTGCTCTTCCTGATGGGGTTTTGAATCCTATTATTGAACTGAGCCAATATTTTAGAGATTTGTGCTCCAAACAATTACGCGAGGACAAATTGAGGGTTATGGAATCTAACATCCCAGTCATATTATGTAAACTTGAGCGAATATTTCCACCATCATTATTTGATTGTATGGAGCACTTGGTAATTCATTTGGCCTATGAAGCAAGGATAGGTGGTCCTGTACAATACAGATGGATGTATCCATTTGAAAGGTAACAATTAATTTATATAATATACATTATCTTACCATTCATATTACATTTTAGATTTTAATTATTTAAAAAATTGTATTATTCTAGGTTCCTTGGGAAGTTAAAAAAAATGGTGAAAAACAAAGCTTATGTTGAGGGGTCTATATGCCAAGCATATTTAGCACAAGAGATAACATACTTTAGTTCCCATTACTTTGATTCTCATGTCCAGTGTAAGCACAATAGACCCCAACGAAATGATGATGGTGTTGACACTCACAATAGGGAATCAACTATGTCAATCTTTGATTATCCTGGGCGTACTACTGGCAAGTCTACAACTCGATGGCTGAGTGATAAAGAAATAAACGCTGTCCAACTACATGTACTCCTGAACTGTGAGGAGGTCAAAGAACATTTAAGGTAAATAATACTACTATTTAAATTTGTGACTAAAATATTTTAGTGAATGACAACCACCTATTATTAATCACTCCCTTGCAGCGTTTATGAGGATCACTTAAGAAGACTATATAGTAATATTAGTGATGCTATGATTGATAAGCAAATTGAAGATGATTTTCCACGGTGGTTTAGAGAGTATGTAAGTATCATATGTAGTTTTTAGACATACAAAATAAATTATTATACGTTTTTATTGCTAACGAGATGGACATAATGCTATATAGGTGAACTGTAACCCACAACTCATGGCACGCAATCCCCATATGCATTGCTTGGCTCTAGGACCATTGAGAATTGCTAAGTGTTGGCCCATAATGCTCATCAATGGCTTTAAGTTTCACACTAAGACATGGGGTGAAGGTAGAAAAACATACAACAGCGGTGTTTGTGTTAGTGGTATAGGTGGTGATGACTCAATGCGAAATGATTATTATGGTGTTTTGAAAGAGATTCTTGAGTTGGAATGGCCAGGACAACCACTCAAAAATCTAATTTTGTTCAACTGTGAGTGGTTTGACACCTCTCACAATGGTACGAGAGCACATAAAAAGTATGGGATTATTGAGATACACAAAAATAGAAGGTATAAGAAATATGATCCTTTTGTATTCCCTGAAATGGCAACACAAGTATATTACTGCCCTTATCCTGGAAAGAGTACTGGGAAAAGGGATTGGTGGGTGGCAATAAAAACTCGACCAAGGGAAACTCTTGAAAATAGACAAGCACTGGAAGTGGCCTATCAAGAGGAGCAATCCACTTCAAATGTTGAAATGACGTAATCATCTGATATGATATGGCTAAATGAGCTTAAATGATTGAACAAAATGTGTTTGATTGTTTATTTGAGTGAAATGGATAATTGGATATGCAATGATCGTATGGTGTATATTGTTTTGATAGGGGAATACAAAAATATAGGACAAAAATACATGTTTCATAGTGGCATACTCCTAGAGCTTTAAAGTTTTTTCTAAACTTTATTCATTCTGTTTTGTTGAAGAGGATAATTTGTGCATTTTAAACTTTATGTCGATAGCAAGGATCAGTACTCTGTAGTCCGTACTTTATAGGCTTTTAGCTGCTGTGATGGACCATTAGTGTCCATTTAAAGGTCATTATGGATTGTAACTTAAGCAAATCTTCTGGCCAATGTTCCACTATAATCCTGTTAACATGGATTTCAGTAAAAATTCAATAATGATGAAACGAAGATAGATCTTTATTATGGATTTATGGTATGCTCTTTTGTATAGTATACATATAATTTTAGCTGATTTGTAGAACCAATTCAATTTGCAGAAGCTGAATAAAATAAATTAAAATGTAAAAGAGCATGAGATTTGCAGTCTTATGGTAGCGTCTTAGATAGTTAAATAGCTAAATAATATGGACTGTCTGATACTCATGTACATGTTGTATAACTTTTTGGTGTAAATAGGAACTGTTAATTGACTCTTCTGAAATCTGATGGCATATTTATGTTTATTACTTGCAGGAGAACTTTGAAAAGAAAAAAGTTGAAATGTCTTCACAAAGAACCATTGATAGTGAAAGTGTTTATGGAGATGATGCTTCACAACTACACCACACGCCGTCAGATTTCAATATTTGGATAGATACGGTGGGAGGACAGAATAATAGTGGCATTCGAGGTCTTGGTTCGTTGGGCAGGTCAATCAAGCGTTTGTCTCATGGAGCACCACAGGAGCCCATATCCGAAGAGGTCGAGGAAAGGATAAGAACTGAAGTCCATTTACTTAATACATCTTTGCAAGCACAACTTGAAAAAGAGAAGCAAGAGAAAGAACAAATGAAGAAGGAATTGGCTGACACAAAGAATACATTGAATCTTTTAATGGAGAAGTTAGGATTTAATGCAAGTTCTTCTCGCTCACAGCCTACACATGCAAATGATGACTCAAGTGATGAAGAAGAGGATGAGGAAGAGGATGAAGAAGAAGATGAAGATAGTGTATCTGAAGACTTTTGAGGGATAATTAGTAGTTTTTTAGTTTCACATGACTCCAATTGAATTTTAATCTTAGAACTTCAGTGAGCATTCGAGATCTTGGTTTGTTGGAAATGTTTAATATTAGGAGCTGCCGAGCTGGATATGAGTAATATTATGAACTCCAAGGCTTCTAAAACATCTATTAAATTGTGATAATTCCTGGAGTAGGTTTTGTTATGGGTGTGTGTATTTCTGGAACAGATTTTGATGAGATTTTTGTAATTGAAAGTTTCAGTTATGTACTCTGCTACTATTTTTCTACATATTTAGCTATGAAATCAATATGTTCAAGGATTTACATGAAAAAGTAGCTGCAGATCCAACTACAAAAAATCACCTGCAATTTTAGTTGCAAATGATACATACACAATTTCTTGCGAATAATTTCCACGACAACTATCGTATAAAAAATCACAGGAAAATTCCTCCCAATTTACTCACTTCAGCTATCAAACTACACAAATTACTTGCATATTTTTATCATTTTCCATGAAAATATTTGCAACAAACTAGTTGCGGATTAAAATCTGCAGCAATGTATTATCCACGAGCATATTACCTATGAAACATAATTTGTAGTGAAATTCGCAACAAACGTATTTACTTGCGAATTTTGAAGTAAAATTCGTAGCAAAGGATATAGGTAAATAACATCTTTTTAGTAGTGCTGGGAATATCTTACCAATTTATTAATTAACAGTACATAAATATGGCAAGGGAACAAGAACCAAAACCTACCGGATTAAATGACGGGTAACTAACCGCGTTAAATTTAACAATTCCCACGAATTCGTGGTAAATGTTTTCAAAGAAGTTAGTATTAATAGCAACAAATCTTGGATTACAAATTTTATTTGTGTGGACAAGGCGAAGATTATCAGTCTGGAACTTCGGTTCAAAACCTTCTAAATTGGCAAAAGCTTTCCATCTAGGTCAATCAATTCCTTTAATTTCAGAGTCCGGATAACCTGTGATCATCACATTCGGTAATAACGTTAGTGTGTTCTTCTCATTTTAAGTACAAATTGGTAAAGTTTTTCATAACTTAAACAAAAAATATTGATAAATGGAATGGAATTGGAGCATGTGACTGACCTACACGTGAACACTTGCGTAAAATTGGGCACGAGAGACATAGACCCGCACTTGATCTCAAGCCAGCGAGAACGGGCGTCGGAGATATCATTCTTAACCAGAGCTATCACAGCCAAGGACGCATTGAACCTATCCAAGTTCTGCTTATTTTCAATCAAAACCCGGGCTTCTTTGTCGGTCAGCGTCACATTCGTTGACCCGGCAGAGAAGGGGATGCCGATTGGGTCGTCGTTTCCCGGCGGCAGGTTGACCGGGGCGGCGGTCATGGTGGCGAGCGCAAGGGTCCCACTGTCAGCATTGTAATAGAAAGAGAGTCTGGCCTCGGCGGCGGCGTAGCACATGCCGCGGCTTTCGTGGCGGTTTTTGGCGTGGAGGGTGAAGGTGAAGGTGGGGGAGAGGGTGTTGCCGGCGGTGGCGTCAATGTTTCCGATGACCACATTGTCCACCGAGAATTCCGGGCTTTGTCGATTCCTGTCCAGGATTCGGTTCTGCCTCGTGTTTTTGAAGCCGGGGGCAATAAGAAGGGAACAGAATATGGGCACCAATATTAATGCTACCCATAAACAACAGACTCCATCCGTATGATCCTGTTTTATGCGAAAAATGCTGACACCAAATACTATCACTATAATACAGATGTAAACGATTAGTAATGCCACAAATGCGTTCACCATTATGGCAGCTAATTCTATTAAGCCGATTGTAAAGCAAAGGGCCGGCCGGATTTTTTTTTTATAATTTAACTAGGAGTAAAATACGAAGGAAGTGCAAAAAAACAAAGTAAGTTTTTAAAAATTGATTGTAAAAGTTTATCTTAAAATATTCTTTTTACCGGTCCAGATCCATCAATTTTTATCCCTAACTACACATGGATAAAGTATATATATAGGATTATTATTACCTAGTATTTTATTTCTGAAATAGGACTCATTTACTTTTGTGCGAGGAGGTATCATACTTTAATAGGATTAAATAAATCCAATTTTGAGAATAAAATATCATTATTCCTACTTTTGCACTTTAGTTATATTTTACTCCCTCCGTATCACATATATCTTCCCACTTCCAAAGTGAGTGAGATTAAAATAGTGAAAAGGGATATAAATTATTGAGGGTATGATGGGAAGATAGTGAAATAATGTGATGGAATGGAGGATAAATCCAAAAAAAGTAGGTGTGATAGTGTATTATTTTTTTAAATTATTGAGGGCATGATGGGAAGATATAAATGTTACGTCCAAAAAAGGAAAGTGGGAAGATATAAATGTTACGGAGGGAGTAATTCGTAGTATATTTGAAGCAATTCTTTATTTTCTTTTTGGAACATTTTTGCTTTTATATAGTCTGCTTTCCACCTGCTACCAAATCAACGAAGAACAAAAGCAAAAGGAAAAACGCGTACGTCTACAGACTACAGCCATCAATATATCATCATCACACAATCGAAAAGGTCAACAATATTGGACTCGTTTGGTTGCATGAAAATCGGCTGATTTGGGCCATTTGGCTAATCCTATTGAAATTTATAAAGTTCTGATTGAATTGGTTGCATTGGCTGATTCTACTGATTTAAGAAGAAAAAAAAGTTAAAATACTACTTCCGTCCCGGTGGACTTTGCCAAGTGCAAAGCAGGTGGGAAATAAGAAAAGTAAAAACTGTGTGGTTGAAATTTGTGCAGAGGAGAGAGAAATGTGCAGAACCACAACCTGGTTACTTTATTAGGAAAGTGACAAAGTTTTTTGGGACAACTAATAAGGGAAAGTTGGCAAAGTCCAATGAGACGGAGGGAGTATATTTTATTAATAAAATAAAGAAAAAATTATATGTAAAAATAGCTAAAATAGTCATCTACAGTAACTTCAACCAATATAGTCAGAAAAGTAACTCCAACCTTACTTTTTCTGCTTATTACACAATTCAGCTGATAAGCCTGATAAGCCAAAAAATAGTACTCCCTCCGTAACATAAAAATCTTCTCACTTTTCTTTTTCGTCCGTAACAAAAAAAATATTCTCATTTCTAAATCTTCCCATCATACCTTCAATAATTCTGAAAATAATACACTATTATAACTACTTTTTTGGATTTATCCTACATTCCACTACTTTTTTCATATTCTCTTTCACTATTCTTAATCTACCTACTTTTGAAATGGGAAGGTTTTTAAGTTATGGAGGTAGTATTACCAAACGGCCTGATCACGGAGTACGGAGTATAATTTTTCGTTAGCACCATTCCGGTTTTGCTGAGTTACTCTTGGATCGAGACATTATCTTTTGTACTTCGTCAAATGAAACAAAAGGAAGGTCAACTGCAAAAAGAAAGAAGAGTAAAAAGTTTGCGCCACTAGGGAAATTGGCTTTGAAAATTGAAATATAATAATATACCCCTCGAAAGGCCTCGATTATACTTTATTACTCGTAGAACAAATACACCTCTCAATTGTTTGAAATGACTAGCATAAAAAATTGAAAAGAATAACTCGGTATGAATATTGCCTTTGATACGAAAAGTAAAGAACAAATGTTATATAGAGTGATCATGCATGAAGTTTTATAGAGTCAAAGTTGAATCACATATTTTTCCGTATTTCCACTAGGCATAGGCCATGTTTGGCACACAAAAGCCTCTGCCTTCTAGCTTTTCTTTCTTTAAAAAAACCTTAAAAGATTCTAGTTGTATGTTTGGCATGACATTTTTTAAGAGTTTTCCAAAAATTAAAAGGTCTTTTTTGAGATGCTACCGGGTGTAATTACATCTGAGAAAAGCTCATGACTTTTAGTATTAATTAGTCCTAACAGCTTGTATACCAAACCGAACTAAATTAAACAGTCAGCTTTTTACCAAACAGCTATCACCTTTTCTTTTTAAGATCTTTTCAGTCACTAAAAGCTAACAGTTACTAAAAAGCTCACAAAAGTATCTTTTCAGCTAGTTTTGCCAAACATACCCATAGTTATGTGTTGATTTCTACCTATTAGATGTCATATAATGTGCGCAATATATTATAGAGATATTATCCAAAATGGGACTAAAAAAGTTTGAAAATTCCAAAATATGACTTTCATGTTTTTATTTCCAAAATAGGACTAATTACTGCCATGTTTTGGCAGTACCAGACTTCAAACATGGCATTATTTTAAAAATTTGGCAATAATTAGTCCTATTTTGGGAATAAAAACATGACACTCCTATTTTAGAATTTTCGAACTTTTTAGTCCCATTTCGGGAACTTTCCCTATATTATACTCCTATTGATTAGTAGAGAGATAAAAAAAAAAGGAAAATAGAAATAATTCCAAATAAAACACCATAAAAGAGTACTATGTTGTAGAAACAATGAGCTAACAAGTATTTTTTTGGACAATTAAAACAATGAGCCGCGGCTCTTGTGTTGGTTTTGGGCGAGGAGGATGAAGCTGAAGGTGGAGGAAACGGTGTTGCTGACAGTACACGGTGCGAAAATTTGTCGTTGCCTGTCCCGAGAATTCGGGCTTTGACGGTGACGTCAATGTTTCCGATTAGGGAAACTCTTCGGTGCATCCCTATTGTGGAATGTTTTGGTACATCACCCATGTGGCCGAATTCCATTGCAAATATATTCCACGTAAGCAGCCATCTCATTAAAACATTAAACAAATTGCATAGAGAACCTTTCACAATTAAAAAATCCTTGTAGTCTACCGTTCGTAAATTACATGCTACAGCCGGCTGTACCGTGTGCACGGTACAGCCAGACTTTTAGTTCGCGAATTGCAGGCTTCCATCGCAGGCTTCCGTCATCGCAGGCTTCCATCGCAGGCTTCCATCGCAGATCATCCTTGCTCGCCGCCTACTAGCACCTCTCCCTTTTTCGACAACTGCAACCCTTCAGCAGCTCTCCTTCAGCTTCGTCCTTAACTTCGCACGCTCTGTTCCTTTCTTTTCCTTTTTCTATTTTTCTCACACTGATTATTTTAGTTTGGTGGTTTTTGGGTCAGGGATAACCTAGGTTGTACGTAATTCTAAAGATATGAGCATACGCAAATAAAAGTTTGAGCATAATGGTGATTTTAAATGAGCCTAAAAGAAATGAGTATACGCCTAAAAGAAATGAACTCACACAAACTAATATTGAACACATTGAAAATGAGTTTCATGTAAAATTGAAATGAGTATAACACCCAAAATGAATGAGCATACTCAAATGAGTTTTTTGAACGCTCATTTCGTAATTTATGTATACTCATTTGATATTAGTACAATACTCTTTTTAAAATGTCATATTCATGCATATTTCAAAATGAGTTTTAAGTTAAATTCAAATGAGTATTATGCCCAAAATGAATGAACACACAAAAATGAGTTTTTAATATTTTGATACTCATTTTGTAAATTATGTATGCTCATTTGGTATTGTTTTATGCTCATTTTAAAATGATGCACATATCAAATATACGCCCAAAATCAATGAGCATACACAAATAAAGTTTTGGATTTTTTTGATACTCATTTTATAAATTATGTATGCTCATTTTGTATGCTCATTTGGTACTGCTTTATGCTCATTTTAAAATGATGCACATATCAAACATATCATACTACATTAGATTCACATATTGAAATTATAAACATAATTTAAGATTTTTAATTTTTATAAATGAAAAAATCATAAAAAGAAACCGAATTAGAAAATATGAAGCAGAGATCACTGGTGCTCATTGTTAGGCTTTTAATACTCAGAAGAACAGGCTCAATGCTCATCAAAATTACATCAATGCTCATTTACGAGAAACCACGAACTTCATGAAAATCACAAAACTGCCACCGGCTGTACGGTGCCAGCCGTACAGCCGGCTGTATGGTATACGCTTCCTCTGCCGTTCTGCCCGTTCAAAGGACCAAAACTTCAAATCAATTTCAATGGAACCAAGAATCAAATTATAGTGGCAGCTGCGGGAAGAATTAAAGACTGATTCCACGCGGTGGAGTTCGCGAGGAGATTTGGGAAGGGGCCGGGTGAAGTATGTTGTTATGCAGACAGTGATGTCTGAGGACTCTATGATCGCGAAGAAGCATGGAGGACCGTTCCAGAAAATTTCCAGAGAACTGAAATTGATGAATGACTATTAATCGGAAGATAGCGATCCAGATCATTCATGGAGTGTGATTTTCTTCGTTGCAATAATTGCTATTGCAGGTACTCCTATTGTTTTGATCGCTCTGAAATTTCAAGGCTACAGGAACAGTCCGACCACCCTTGTTATAGTTTCAGACGACCCACCTCCAACGCTAAAATTTTGCTAAAGATCTGATGCGGCTGTGATTCTGCAACTTGGGAACCTCAAGTTATGTCTTTAACTCCATTTCTTAAGCAATCTGTACTCTATTTCGTCGTCGAAAATCTTACGCTTCAACTATTTTTGTTCAAAGAAGATTGGTTCCATCCTCCTCTTCATTCTTCAACCTTCACACCATCATAACTTCATAAGATATGTGGGAATTAAGACCAATTAAGTTGTTCAGTGTGACATGTTAATTTATTTGATTTAAAGTGGAAAAGATATTTCTTTCAATGCGTTCTATCAGCAGGTTTGGTTGTTACTGATTATATCTTTTAAATGTGTATATGTGGGTGGAAGCAAGCGGTTTTGAGAAGCAGTTGAAATAGTTGAGACCCACACTTTTAATCTTGAAATGGGATCAAGATTAGTTGTTTATGATAAGGACTCAATCTTTATGATAAAAAGAGTAGACTTGAGATGAGATCACAACCGGATTTGATTGAGCAGACCTTTAATGTTAGATACTCAAGTTTGCAACGGGATATTCTGGCAAATAGGGTCCTGATGGCCTTCTTCGAGACTATTTAAGAACAAGAATCTAGTGAATATCACCTTCACAAAATTGCTATGGGTAAGCTCCAAGCTTCTTAAATAGATGAATATTACAGAGTGAAAAGTAACCACAGTTCTACATTTTAAAAAAGATCACAATTAAGCCAATAACTCCAAAATAAATGAATGAAATCAAAATCATTACATATTCAATGTCGGAAAAGTTATTTACATCGTATCTGAATATCTAAAGAGAGACTCAAGTAAAAGATACATCAAATTTGATCAAAGAAGCAAGGCACTAAGCTACTGCGATCTTTCAAGTCCAACTATGTCCTCGAGTATCAGTAGCTCTATAATCGGCACACTCTCATTTGTGCTAACCTTCAAAGATAACCATCCAAACGCAGCACATCCAATGAAAGAATAGGGGTTCCAGTCTTCCAGACATTAAAGGAAATAAACCAAGTGACAACTCAAGAATACTTGAAATGCTGCCATGCTCTCACCGAGAACCTGATCCCAACTTTGAAGACCTAAAGGTATAAAAACCTGCCAAAATTCCAACCTATAAACAACAAATAACACAGAAGAAAAAATTAGGACTAGAATTTTTATGTTTAAAAATTAAAATGCTATTAGTAGATATTTGTTGCCTTGTGGCTTAGAGCAGCAGCATAATCATTGAATATAAATAGGGAAGCTAATAACTTTATAGATATATAGGGAAGAGAGTGTAGAGAAATTTGCAAGTCCAAATATAATACTTCCTCCGTTTTTTTTTTAATTGCAACAGTCAACATTTCACGTTTGCCAATGCACAAATTTGACCATTAATATCTTTTATTCCTTATAAGTAAAAAAATTAAAAAATTCATATTTTGAAAATTTAGAATGAGAAGAATTTTACAATATTATTTGAAAATTTAATTTATTATACATTAATTAATAAAATGGAGTCAAAGTAGAACATGTGAATAGTGCAAAAAGTCCAATGTTGCAACTAAAAGAGAACGGAGGTAGTATATATTTATATCCAGATTGTTCCAGTGAAAAATAATACTCCCTCCGTCCCCTTTTAAATGTCACGTTTTACCATATTGGGATGTCCCTATTTAATTGTCACATAACTTATTTGGTAAAGTTTGTGTGGCTCAAAATCATTCTTACTTTATTCTTACTTTATCAATTAATATCAACCACAGAGACCCACTTTTCTTAAAACTCGTGCCACCCTCCTCCGGGGCATTTAAAAGGGGACGGAGGGAGTATTCCTATAAAAATGATAATGAATCTTGTCCCATAAAAATTGATAATTAAGCTTATTCCTGATCCTCCTTATAAAAGAAACAATATCGAAAAGAAGATGGTTAAAAACAAAGGGAAGATAAAAACTATGTAGAAGTAAATGATATAATCATTATACGGACTAGTTAGTTATTTAAAATTTAAAACTAACTAATATGGAGTAGAATAGAGACTAATTTGTAAAGTAAAATCAAGTAATCAACCCCCTCCCCTGCTGCAAAATCTAACGCTCTTGAACTCAAGAAGTCATAACTCAACAACTCTTCTAGGCTTTATCTAGTTAAAGGTGCCTACAGGGAGGGAGAGATTTACTTATTCTCTTGGTTATGATAATCTAGCTAACATTTTTCAGGCCTAAATGAATTAGGGGCGAACCGGCCTTGACTTATGACTTATGTGATTAGAAATTTTTGGGGTTTTAGGCATCAAATAGTCTATTCACGCTGTCACGCACGCAACACAAGAGGCGAGCATGCTTCCTGCTCGTGAGGAAAGAAAGAACGAGGTGCAGATTTTACAGTTTGCAGCATCGGAGTAGATTCCCAGAAATAGACTTGCGATCAATAGGATGCAATGGGGAGTAGGGTAAGAAATGGATGGATATACTTACAAAAGTTGGATGATGGAGCCCTTCTCCCAAGCTTGAGGGGTGCAGAGTGCAGACGTGCAGTCCCTGGGATGCTTTCGTAAGGATGGATAACCGGTTATGTTTAGTAAATAAATATTGTAAAAGGACCAATTTACAAATACTTTAAGAAAAATATGACATGGAGAACGCAACAAATAAACTAATGCCATGTGTGAAATGCACCAAAACCTTTCCCGACGTTGATGCACCGTAAAATTTTCCTTCCGATTATCACATTGTCCACCGAGAATTCCAGGCTTTGTCGTTGCATGTCCCGGATTCGGTTCAGGCGCATGTTTTTAAAGGTAGAAACAATAAGAAGGGAACAGAATATGGGCACCAATATTAATGCTACCCATAAACAACAAAATATTATCGCTATAATATAGATGAAAATGATTACTAAGAGCATCCGCAAAGCTGAGTAGTCTAGTCTAAAAAAAACATGTCATCACACTAAATTAGACTTTCTACAGCTATTTCCCTCTTCAACGCAGGTAGTCTTTTATGAGTTGGCAAAAAAATGATAGACACCATGATGGTAAACTATGCGGGTATAGAAAGTCTGATAAACTTGCTAAAAGGACAAAATTAAAATAACAAGATGATTAAAAAATAGATGAAAACTTAAAAAACGCCGTTTATGATCTCTTTCTCCAAAGTACGTATCGACATAGCTCTCTTTTCCGGCGATAACTCAGGTACGCATGTAAATTTTTGTTGGGAAACAGCCGGAGTAAACGAATATAATCAGTGGCGGAACCAGAGAATAATTTGAGCGGGTGCTCTATTTTTATTATTATCCTAGGGGGCGTCAAGGGGAGGGGGTTAGGGAGGCTGAGATAAACTGAGATGAATCTCACTCCATTAAGAATTGAACTTGGGACCTCCCATAAGGGAGAGTACTGAGTCGGCGACCAGCTGGGCTGGACCGCTTCCTCTATATATAGAATAATGTTATTGTTAGTCACGACGGACCAAAACCGCCGTTCGCCGGCATTATTTGATGAGCTTCCCGGTAGAATTGTTTGATGAAATTTGTGAGTTGTTTTTTCATACAATTAAATGTAGATTATCTCCACAAAATTCAACTTAAAACTCAATCATAGAGTCAGTTAAATGAAGGGAAAAATAATTAAAATACCTCAAACTTTGAGGAGGTATGAGGTAAGCACTCCAAACTTGCAAATGTAATTTAAATACCTCAAAAGTTTTATAAAAAATTATTTTAGCATCATGATCATGTATTGTTTTTTAAAAAATGTTAATTTTTGGTGCTAATTTCATAATTTAAAATGTTTTAGCATTCTTGAAGACAATTAACATTTGAAACTTCCGTTGTAAAATAAAAAATACTACTCTCACTCTATATAATTGCAACATTTTTAATTTTTTATTGTAAATTATATAATTAACGCTCCTTCAAAGTTTGAGATATTTTATTTATTTTTCTCTTACATAAATTATTGAAATTTATTGGGCAAAAATATGTATAAAATACATAGTATTTTTCAATAATTGTTTTAGCTAACAAAAAGAGTCTAAAAACGGAGTCAAAATTGAAGGAAAAAAAGTGAAAGGGATAGGTTGTATTACTACATACGGTAGCCGAATTTGAACAAGGGATAGTGGAGATTGGAGAAGCATATACGGAGTAAATAATTCTTAGCAGGGTAACATCCAAGCGAACTGTCAAGTTCTTACATTCATTTTACAACCGGGGATGTAGGCTCTGTTTGCAACCACTTGTGCTTAAATAAAAGCACTTTTTGAGAAAAAGTGATTAGTAGTAAAAGTTGGTAGTGTTTAGTAAAATAAGTGCTTTTTGTGTAATAGAAAAAGTAAAAAGTAGAATCTACACGAAAACCGAGGAGGTAAAAGTTGATAGTGTTTGGTAAAATAAGTGCTTTTTTCTTTAAAAAAAAGCCAAAATCATTTTTTTTAATTGATTGCAAACAAAGCCGTAATATAGTAAGTTTCAACCGGGGCTGAGATATATACATATATACTTCCTCCGTTCTCTTTTTAATTGCAACGATCAACATTTCACATTAGCCAACGCACGTCTTTGATTGTAATTATATCTTAATCTCTATTAGTAAAAAAATCGAATTTTGAAACTTTGTAATGAGATGAATTGAACAATATCTTTTAAAAAAAAATTATAAAATAATAGCGTAAAATGTAGTCAAAGTAGAGGATGTGAATAGTGTAAAATTCAACATGTTACGATTAAAAAGAAACGGAGGATAGTATATATATACACTACAAAAGAAACGGAGGATAGTATATATATATACACTACTGTCGCCGGCGAACGGCCAATACCCAGCCAATACCCTTTAAAATTCTTTCCAAATGAACCTATATGTTCTACAAATTTAATAACCAAAAACTACATCTTATTTGTGTGTACATCAGTACATCTACACTTACACATGGACTATTCTAAGTAATGAATTCTCGAAGAAAAGGAAAGTGGTATTATTTTTAATTTGGTATGTGGAATATTTATATTTGGATTTCTTAGAGCAATTCTCTTTGGCCTAGCTACAAGGTATGTACTTTTTTCGCTTTACAATGTATGGTTATGATTATTATTTTTATTATTTGTTTTTATTATTATTGTTATTATTATTATTATTATTTGTCTTATACCAATAATATCCTAACACAATGAATAGAGTCGTCACCGCGGTAGATTTTCACCGCCAAGTTCAAGATGGATTGGTGTGGTTCCTCTACACCTAGGACATCAGAATAGAGAATAATGATGGAAGAAAGACATACCCGCACGGGTAGCTCAGTTGGTCGAGTGGTGGGAAATTTGGATCAATGAGCCAAGGTTTGAATCTCCACAGCGACTGGGTGGAGGTTATAGAACCTGAAATAAGGTTGGACTTCTAACACACGGGTTATAGGCCTATTACCACTTTGCTGATTGAGTCATCGTGACTTACTCCTTCACCATCATGTCGGGTCGGGGTGTGGGGGCTCCTGGGGTGGGAGATTCCACCTTCTTTGGATCAATGAAGGAAGAAAGACATGAGAGAGAGAAAGAGAGAGAGAGAGGTTTCAGTCTTGTTGCTGTAAAAGAAATTAAAAGTTTGATGTAAAACCGATATTGAAAATGATAGAGAATTGACACAAGAATTTTTCAATGGAGTTAATGAATTTGTTAATTTTGCACGAGGACAAACACGGTACATGGATGGAACGAAAATAAGATGTCCTTGGACGAAGTGTAAAAATAACAAGTTTATTGATGGTGATGATGTTGCAGGCATTTATATACGAGCGATTTATTGAAACTATTTAAATGGAATTCTCAAGGAGAACCGCTTGAGTCATGTTTTTGCCGCAAACCTTGGAATATTTTGAAAGTGACGCCTGAAGTATGGCACGACTGTTTGCCAGCCAAATCCGAACCAATTTTAAAATTGTGTTGTTACCAATTTCTTCACGGCGGCCTTCGAATATTATAAACTCACAAAATCAAGCATAAAATGAGTACAAAACATATGGAAGTCGACCATCAATACCCTCTCTTTACCTCATATGTTTTCTGTTTCAAACAAACACTGGCTAGATCTCCTCCATTTCTCTCTTCCTCTATATCTCCTCTATAACGCCAAACATCTGGGTTTAGGCAACCGTTGTGCTCTTTCTACAAGGGGGTCTTGGCATCACCAACATCTCATAGGCATCAGTTTGTCTCATGTCTTTCATTCTCCAGAGTCCAGAAAGTTGTATGGGTGGCCCGGTTCCAATCTGACCGGACCGGGAACGGGGAACCGGCCCGGACCGCCACTGTGCGAGACCGGACCGGCCTGGTGAACCAGGACCGGTTCCGGGCCTAGGACCGACCCGAGGTGTTAGGGCGGGGCAGTTCCGGGCTGCTCTTCCTTTGGAACCGGCCCAGCCGGTCCGGGGCTATATTTTTGTTTTTTTTTTTGTTTTTTCATTTTGTTTTTGGGTGGTAGTCGGGTTGGGCCGGGTGTTTCGGGGGGGTTAATTAGAAAAGCAAAAATAAATAAAATGAACCGGGTCGAAACCGGCCCGGACCCGAAGGAATCCCGGGCCAGTTCTGGGCCCGCAACCACACACAAAAAACCCGGTTTAGATCGGCCGAGAGCCTGGCCTGGAACCGGTCCATGCCTAGACAGATGTATATGAGAACAAAATCTTATTTGTGAATATATAGGTGTTCTGGAACCATATTTATTGATATGCAAATAGCATTTTCCTTCAGACAATCATATTATAGTATCACAAATTACACATCAAAGCAATAAGTTGTTATTGGTTTCTTATTTCCAAGAAAATGAAAAGCATGAAGCATTTTTCTTTGGACAATCATAGTGTGACAAATTACAAATCAACGCCATAAGTTATTATTTGTCTAATTGTCTCTTATTTTCAAAGTAATAAGAAACATCATCGTAGGTAGAAGATTCAAAACTCAATGACAGCATATTTTTATTTATGAATAAAGCAATACATTCATTCTATGAACGAAGTTCTAATATGTGGCAACCGAATATGAGAAATAATCTCTCATCTTACTTTAGGTAGTAGAAATTAACATACACTTCGCTTATGCAGATTGATGGGGCAAACTAAGAATTTCTTTTTTGTTCCAAGTCACGATGTCTCCAAGGGTTGAGAGCCTCTTTAATAGCCTTGGCTTCAGGTGAGTTCTCCCAAGCCGCCTTTTCTGCCTCCAAAACAGTTACCTTGTCATCTGAATCCCAATTGGAATAAGACAAAGAAAGGAAAAAAACAGTTGTAAGACTAAATTTAAAAGTACTGTTGTACCAAGATGGAAAGAGGAAGATTGTTGTTTATCATGAACGTAATTGAAGAACAGGAATGAAACGATACAAGCTTAGGCACTTAGAGCAGCCTATCTCTCCCAAAATCCCAGCCCAAGTCTCAAGTTCTGCCTTTCCCCTTCCACTTCCCCAACTCCTATTTATTCTTTTCTATTTGAGCTAGCCCGGTGCTATTTAATTCAGGGCCTGAGCCCTTTTTTGTACAATAATAAAAAACTAGTATTATTCTTATTACTAGTACTATCTAGGTCTCTATCAAGTACCAACACAAACAGATGTGTGTAAGTGTTTGCATGTGTGTGTGTGTGTGTAAATGAGCTTATATACATATACGGAGTATGTATCTACACAGACACGCATATACGCATATATGTTTGCGTGTGTGTTTTGTATAGACTAATAGACACACGCATTAACCAACGGAACTAACCCCTCTTGTAGTT